AGCTTGTTCACTTATTTCCCTGTAAAAACTTCTGATGCTCAGCCTGAAGCTGCAAAGGATTGACTGATTTGGTAGAGGCAATGTGCCATTTTGAAGAAGATATTTATACTCGAAGTCAGTATTCTTACTTACAACTCCGTGCCAACTCTCAGTTTACCCCAAAATTTACCCCCTGAAAAGTCAATAAATCGATAACAATTAAAGGATAAAGGATAAAGGATTCAGCGTCATCAATACCCTCTGAGGGCATGCCCGAACGCACACACTAACTTCATAGTCGAAGAGGCAATGGTATGCGTGCGAGCCTATTACAGTGGCTTGCGGGGGCCAGCCGTTTCCAAGTCAGTGCTTTAATCTCCCAGATTGCTCTGGTACCAATTTACCGGCCCCGGAGGGTAGAGGGCTTGGTTGACCCGGAGGCAGGGATCGAACCTGGGTCCTATCTGGTCATAGCGGCGCCTCATACCACTATGCCACTCGTCCCCATCGATATCAATTGGTGACGGAAAATTCCCTACGACACTTAACCACTTCAAGTGTTTGTGAAGTTTGGTCCAGATCGGTTTGGAAATGAAATTTTCTTTGCAAAACATACTCAAACAGCTAGGCAAGCAGAATTCAAACAAATTGGGCAAACACGCAAACGCGAACATTTAGCATCATTTTTGAGGTGTAGCAAAAAGTTATTTTGCTTTTTTTTGATATTACTGACGTGGCATGTTCCAAGAAACAAGCAACATCTTATATGGAAAAACTGTTTAGTATTGATGTTGAAAGCCAGATGTCGAACAAGGACAGTGATGTGTTCGGAATTCGCTGTACTTCCTGTAATGTATGGGTGTCATTTCTCTTTCAAAGTTTGATGAGCGTTGTCCTTTTTTTGATGAAACTAGTCGAGAATAAAGTTCTGCGTCCTTCTTTTTGAGTTGTTGCCACGAAAATGTTTGATATACAAGGTGTCCCAAAAAATGTGAACGATGTTTGATCGCCAATAACTCGCTTTCTTGCTTTACGTCCTTCGCCGAGCTTGAGGTGCCATTCTGCAGAGCGAAATTCAACTTAGATTAACGGTATGAAAATCTTAAATCACTCTTCATTACTGTAGGACAACGGTAGCAACAGAGAAGGATTTTAGAAAATTCAAGCGGTTTTTTCCTCAGGATAAAACCAAACAAGCCAAAAACTCTTTTACTGGACCAGTCAAAGTCCTTTTTAAACATGAAAGTTCCACAATGTAATGTTTCTCCAATAAGTTATATCAGGTTTGAGGAAGCGACTGTTTTTCCAATGTTCGTCAGAAGTGTGATTACACAATTAAGAAAGCTTAAAAAACTGGTAAAACATTATGTGATGAAATCAGCACTTCTGCAAATCTGGCTACACAAACTTCTGGATTTTTGGAATTTTTTCATCAAAAGGCCTATTCCACAGTAGCGCAACATGCAGAAAGTTTATACCGTAATCCTATGGTAATGAAAAGATCGGATTTGTTCCATGCTGTAAATCTAACAAGGGAAGGATAATTGGTCGAAGTGGAGTTTTCATGAGAAATGTAAACTGTCTTATAGGGCATGGAACGCTGAATCCGAGTGTGCTTTCGGTACCTGCAAAGCAGTTTTGTAATGGGAGTTATGAGAGCTTTTTAAGACAAAAATTCAAGATTTTGGTTAAGGTAAAAATGAATGTTGAGGTTTTTATGGCGCTTGAATGGAGTAACGACTATCTCAAATTTGTTACAGTGAAGGTGTTGACTGCAGAAAGCGCCCTGGCAGTAATCATGATCCCCTCCAAGCTCACAGACTACAGTTTTGAAAAATTTTATCGCAGCTGCTTCTCGAAGTTTTTGCTTCAAAAATTTCCTTAACTTCCCCCAGAAGCGCTTTGCAGATATCGAAAGCATTCAAAATAGCGTTCCATGCTCTACAAGACAGTATACATTTCATATAGAAACACCACTTCGACCAAGTTCTTCCCTTGTAAGTTGTACCTCGCTCTACAGAATATACCTAAAGATCAGCCAAAGACATCGAAGCAAGCTAGCTGTTAACTACCTCAGCTCGGTAGAAGACATTGACGCAAGAAGTTATCAACGATCAAACACTGTTCAACACCTTGTATATGTCGCCAAGATTTTGCTCAAAGCCGGTTTCTTTTCTGTTCGATTTCCTGGGCTCCTTTACAAAAACACTATATTTCATGAATCTAGTTCATAGCTTTCAATGCGTGTAAACCAAAAGCCACATGATCGATATAGCTATGCAGCCATATCACCAGGTTGAATGTAAGGTCTTGAATAGAAAATTCTTTTTGTATGTGTAAGTCGTTACCAGTTCTGCAAAAAAAATGTGAAGCATATCGAAATAGCAGGGCAGATCTATGTCATATTGTAACTTTTTAACACAAACTTTAGGTCGTGCAGCTTGAAACTCATATGACAGGAAGGATTAAGAAAAATTTTGTTAGTGATTAGGCTGTAAACTCAGCGGTTTTAACTTAAATCCTTACTCGCACGGTAGGACTACCTTCATCTTTGATTTACAGTATAGAGCGGATCACCGATTTCCCTTAGTTACTGCAAGATTGTAGTAATTTTCGACTAATTTTAGGCTTCTGACAGACGAGAATTGCGTCTAAAAAATCTTAGAAAAAAAACCGAGACGTCAAACTAAGAATCGAGATGTTAAATCTAATTATAAAGTTTTCCGCCAATGTACTTCTTACGGTATGCATACTGTAACGCTGAGTTTTTGGCTTTTTTCCAAAATTTAGTAGATAACCCTGCAGTTTCAAACACGTCGAAATCTCAATCAAATTTGTCAAATCAAATTATTATGCGTTTAAAACCTGATTTTGTGATTTTTGCACTTATTATCTGCATTTATTATTATCCTATTATCTTAATAAAGAATGAAGGAGGTCTCAAGGTTCAATGAACTTAAAGTCATTGTTACAGTGCGCGTACCGTGAAAAGCCGAAAAGTACGGTAGTGGAAAACTTTGTATCACCCCGAAATGTTGGTTTGACGTCCTTCGGTTCTTTTTTTTTTAGGAAACCAGAAGCAATCCTCGTCTGTCAAAAGCTTAAAATTAGTCAAAAATTCGGTACTTTTCCGTTATCCGGACCCATTTTTTCAAACAAGGATATTGCTTCTTTCCTTGTACCAGATTTGGTCCCAACTTCACAGGAAGGAGTGCCAACCTTCTGCCACGTGTCAAAAAAATTTAACATGTATCTACACGTTTAGCAGGTTTTATCATGAGTTTGTGTTGCCCTACCTAGTGACGTTAACTCGGTTGTTTTTCAGCCGATAATGACACCAATTTCGATCAAACAACTTCATAAATGGACATTATTATGATAATAACGTTATGCTATTATCAATGAACACATTGGGTTTGCCCAGAATAGAGAATTGCGCCAGATTTCTATCGTTTAAGCGACAAAACAATCTAGCGAAGTACTTCAAGCCATCAATTATAGTCTATCCTGGCTAAATCCGCATGGCGGAAAGAGTTTGAAAAGAAAGACATTTTTTGAATCATTGCTGAAAGCAACAGGATGTTCTAATATGAGTTCGAAATTGCTCTGTTTTTATAGAAGACAATTAGACAGCTTCTAGGTGATTACAAATGCTCTTTTGACTTACCGGAAATGATTTTAAAAAAAAACGTGTCCAACTGGACCAAAACATGTCAATTTTTTCTTGACACGTGGCAGGGAGGCTGTCCTCGTAGAAACTATAAAAAAGTGTTCTTGAACTAAATAGCGTTTTTTGTGAAAGCCCTTTAAAAAATGGGTCCGGATAACGGAAAAGTACCAAAAATTCTACCGTATCCCTGCAGTAATAAATGAGATCGGTGACCCGTTCTATACTGTGAACCTAATTTGATGCTAGTCCTACCGTATGGCACCCAAAGATCCGCGAAAGCTTTCCATATAAAGAAGTCATTGAAGATCAGCGTTCAATACATTTTTTTGGGACACCCTTTATAACCGAGGAAGAAGTTTTCAAACCAGCTAGGAGAAGAGGCTGTTTGTTAAAGGAAACCATGTCACAACACAAAAATACGTACATGATACATAACCCATCACCTCACATATCGGTATGATAGACTGAAAGAGCTCTCGTTCAAAATTTTGTCGCAGCTAATCGTCATTATGTAAACGGTAGAACTTGATGTCTTCACCAATGACTCATATCAACATCGAACACTTGCGAAGTGCGCGGGCACAGGGTTTTGTCTACAAATTTGAAGAAAAAAGCACATGAAGCGCCTTTTTAGTAAGTTGCGGATGATCAACGCCTCAGTGATCCTTATATAAGGAGCGCAGGGTCTGAGCAGCAACTCGTATTCTGCGTGTACTCGTTATGCTGCTTTTCTATCAAAAAGTCTCTTGCCTAACGCATCGCCGATGGAACGACTACATCAACAAGATAGAGTAAGGCATTTTCCTTCATCGAAGAGATGCTGACCACTTTCTGCCGCATGTTGGCAATGACACAGGAGAAATATTGGTCAAGCCGACAGTACGGACTGCACATAGATTGCAGAGTAGCGCCGCGAGAAAGCTCGACCCAATAAGAATCTCTGTTGTACAAACCGTGCTCTAGGGACTATTCAGCAGAGCCGCGCTGCTCGCAAACCGCAGCCTCTGTGTGCGGTTGACGATTCGACAGTACGTCACTATCAATGTACTACTCATGAGAACCTTTTGATAACTGATGTATCCCTGTTTTGCCATCGCTAAAAGTCGTGGAAATTCCTTCCAAAGATCTCATTGTGCATCTGATTGATGAAGAGCTTTGAAATAAAGGTAGGAGCGTGAGAGTAACAAAAATTACATTCACAGATGCAACGCTTACACAAATCAGCAAAAGGTCATATATATCGCGGATCGCGATCAAAAGAGACCAGCAGACGTTATTGTAGTGTAGAAATGTGTTTATGTAGTCTCAATGTTTTGTTTACGTATGCTTTACTCATTGCCCATTTTGGGTAATGATCATTCTTATTGTGACTTCGCCTCCGATAAAGCAGTTACTCGACGCTGGTGTTTTGGACACGACAGTTTGGACGGCTGAGCAGGACAATCGGCACACCACTGAACCACCACTTTATGGTGCATCGGCCGTCGCCAAAGGACCAGGACAAGGATCAGTTGCCATATACCAACGTGGGTTTTTTCTTACTTTGATCATTTTACACGAGACATCGGAGGAAGAAGATCGATCCCGGATCAGGATTTGGAGAACAAGCACATCAATCAGGAACACGGGAGCAAGAAGTCACAGTAATTAGGCAGTTTTACCGAATGGTTGGACATACTGGATTAGCAGTAGCGAAAGCGCTACTGACATGGCATTGCCGTAAACTCAAGAATTTGGTAGAAGAATGTGAAGCGGCAAAGGAGAACACTTATAATGAAGAGGAAGACGGCATAAAAAGCAAAGCGATCGAGTTGGAAGAAATGACAAAGTTAACTTCGACAAGCTTGTGGAAATTTGCGGAGGTTGTGGATTCTATGAGTGAGCTGACAGAGGAGCAAAAGCAGGAGGTACAAAGTTATTTGGAGGAGGCTCAGGGTTGAGCCAGACTTCGCGGGGAAGCGGCGTACGCGGCGTACGCAGCGTACGCTCGGTATATTTCATCATAGGAGCATACGCGGCGTACGCTGCGTACGTCGCGTACGCCGCGCAGTCTGGCTCAACCCTCAGGAGGCGATTGATCGTGCCGAAACTGTCACAATTCAGATGAAATCTTTAAGGAAGAGTCTTGAACGCAAAAACGCAAAAACGTTACCTTCAAAGTTCGGATATTTGCTTACAGGAAAGCAACAGAGACCAATGGATGTGTCGGAAAGGACACTGGGAGTGTCTGACACATCAGTGGCAATGGTCCAGGAAATCGCGAACTTCGAAGCAGTTTTTGAGGACGACAGAGATCGGCGGGACAAGCAGTGGACCACGGACTCAGGTGGCATATGTGAGTTCACTGGTACAAAGGATGCAGAGAAGGAGGCTAACAACGCAAAAGTTGCCGGATTTTTTGAGGATACAGTACACAGACGCAACGGTGTTTACTATCGATTGCCGTTCAAGGAGAACCACACCCAACTACCGGATAATAGAGCCATAGCGAACAAACGGCTTGTTGATATCCTATACAGACTGGAATTGGATCCAAACTTTCTACAAGCACATGATCGGACAATACGAGATCAGTTTGAAAAAGAAATAACTGGACAAGTTACCGATGGACAACCAATCCTTGGAGAGACCATAGCTGCTCTAATGGTCAAAAAAGCGATGCCACATCAGGGAGAGGATGTACGTGAGCCGTTGTTAAATCTAACAAAAACTTGGAGTTTTATTTCTACTGGACGAGCAGCTGCGATTATGCTCATTTTCATCGGACGATCAATGCATGGACTGAATGAGGATCGCCAAGCTGAAATCTTTGAAAGAGTCAAGAAGCTAAGAGACGTTCAGAATTGCCCTGTTTCTATTTTAGGAGAAATTATGCAACCTGCCCAAATGATTACTCAAGATCATCAGAAACGCCGTCTCTCCACCAAGTATAAATCCATGGACAACACCCTACATCTATTCCAAGACAGTCACTCAATCTGGCGTTTACGAGTTCAACTGGGAAAGATATCACTAAGCGATCAAAAGCAAAATCCTATTTACATTGCTCCTAAAACACCACCAGCTTTACTGATGATCAAAGAAGTGCATAGTTTCTATCATAGACTAGTGGAATACACGATGATGGCGGTACGAATACGCCGTGAGGCGGAGGAAGCGATTCAGTCATGCAGAATCACTGAACAGTTTTGGAAAGTGTGGCAGCATCATTACCTGACTAGCCTGCGAGAAAAACCACCGAAGAAAATCTCAAGAAAAAGACTTGGACAAGAAACGCTCATAGTGGGGTCGATAGTACTTATCAGCAATCCAGTTTTACCAAGAAATTCGTGGAAATTGGCGCGTATAACGGATATTCGGCGTGGAACAGACGGTGTAATCCGAGAGGCAAAGCTAGTGACCAGTAACAGACGTAAAGTCCGACGACCGGTCAATTTGCTGATTCGACTCGAAATTATCGACGATATGAGTGATATATCAGATAAAGAGTCAACGTCGTCATTGAATGGAATTTCAAAAGAAGAAAGGTCGGAGAAGTCCTATAATCTCAGATCCCGGCAGATGAGCTGTAATGTAGAAAATGTTGACGACCACAAGAAAAAGAAATCTGCGCAACTCAAGAACAAAATGGTTTCTATTTTATATCATGGTCCTGACATTCACTACTCTTGTATGAAGTATCTATATCTATGGTATTTATATCTACTTTACTATATATCGTTGCTCATCTATATATGCAATCTATATTGGTGCTGTTTTTTCTGCTCTGGTACAACTATAAGAAGAAATATATTCAATGCTGTGGCCGGGAGTATCGCGGATCGCGATCAAAAGAGACCAGCAGACGTTATTGTAGTGTAGAAATGTGTTTATGTAGTCTCAATGTTTTGTTTACGTATGCTTTACTCATTGCCCATTTTGGGTAATGATCATTCTTATTGTGACTTCGCCTCCGATAAAGCAGTTACTCGACGCTGGTGTTTTGGACACGACAGTTTGGACGGCTGAGCAGGACAATCGGCACACCACTGAACCACCACTTTAATATATGCATCGACCCTGGAGTCGGCGCGGAAATATTTGAATGGGGGGTACATACCAATCATGGCTATTGCGTCAAAAAAACCTAAAAGCCTATGATTATCCAGAAGTGTACAGGATGGTCCATATTGAATTTTCGAAGCAATCCCCACTACCTCCACAATCTACATCTCTAAGCAGCTCACATTTTGATCATGTTTGTAAGGTGCAGTAGTAGACCTTGTTGATTTCCCTGCAATTCACATATTAAACTGTACAGTACCGTTCACAGAATGCGCAAAAATTCCGTGAATGTCGCAGAATTCCAGGAATTCCGCGAAGTTTCGCAAAATTCCGGGAATCTCGCGAAATTCATGTGAATCACGCAAATTACGGGCCATAACTTCTTTCCAAATGAGTATATTATAATATAAGTATAATCCGAAAGCAGCAGTGTATTCAGCTCGTCAAGGCGAATCTTTTGGTATACGAATTGTGTCCAATACCTTGTTTTCAATATCTTGAATTTGCCCGCGGACGCCTCTTCGCATGGGGGTAACGCAACGAACATCACACATAGAAGACTGCCGTGGGCACCTTTCGATAGTACTCTTTCACTAGATTATCGTGTGCTAAACAGCAGCCTAAGACTCTCTTTCAAAAGAGACAGAGAGCTGATAAACTCTGGAAAAATCAAGCTGTTCCAAGTTCCACTAACCGTAACTTCCTTCAGAATACACATCCTCGGAATTCGAAAACAGCATTGTGTTCATCTCGTCAAGTCGAATCTTGTTGTAAACAGCATGCCCTTGAAATTCCGTTTCCAATTTTTTTCAAAATTTTCTGAGCGTATATTCACAAGGTCGCAACGCAGCGCACATCAAAGATAAAAGACTCCAATAAGCACTCTTGGATTGTGCTGCTCTCGCAGATTATCGAACGCTAAATAGCAACCGGAGAATCTTTTTGAGAAAAGATAGAAGAGCTGGTGAATTCTGGAAAAATCGCGTTGTCTCAAATTTTGCCCACCGTGACCCTAAAATGAGATGCTCTACTGCTAAGCAGATGTGATTTTCGTAATCGGCAGGTCAGATAACCTCTATGAGCAAGTTTTCATAGAAATTCGGGTGATTTATTTTTTTCTCGAGCTTCGCGCGCGAAGGGTTCAAGTGGACCTACGCCCTGAAGCTCGCCGATGGGTTTTGCTCAAAATGTCGATGATCTCGGATTGTAGGAAACTTCGATCAAAGAGGTTTTCGATCACGCTGTTTACGATAATCGTCTTTTGCGCGGAGTACAGAGCTTTCTAGCAAAGATATGGTGAGGGAACTTTAGCTAAGCCACGCAAGTTCGTAGATTCGCCTGCATTTTTCGGACACCTCTTAAAAAATCTGCTTGCTTGCCTTTGCAGGTTAAAGTCACTAGAAAGCGTGCTATTTAACGGTGCATGCATCCGGCTTCAATAAAACAACCGAGCCAAGCAATGCCTGTTAAGTACTCTCGCATAGCAGCTGGCTAAAATTACTAACAAAGATATATGTTAACGTCAACACTTGACTACATCGATAACACGGCTAGAACGATTGTTAATAAAATCAAGAACGGGGTACCCTTGGTGAATTTTCGACAAGCTGCACAAAGTTAAGGCAGTAATGGATTCAGTTGCTTTTGTAGAGTTCCATTGTGTCACTCTTTTTGGAGAATCAGAGAAAAGATTAATTGGGCAAGATGCAATATTCTACCAAAATCGTGCTTTCTTTCTTTTTCTTTCAGCTCTATTATTACACAAGGGATCTGCCTAAGTCGCATCCATTTGAAGTTTGAGGACAAAATCGAAGAAAATTTTCACATGAATTTGGATTTTTGCGAGAAAAAGTCCTATGGACCTTTAACTTGGTCATACAGTAGGTGCATAGTAGCACTCAAATATGCCCTTATTGAATTTTTTCCGCGCATCGAAAGCGAGAAAAAAAGATATTTCAATGACAAACTCCGGCCCGGCCCCTCCCACATATGTCATTGTATATTACAGGCCTTACTGAGTACAGCCTTAAAACTTTACCCCTGTGTGTGCTCTCATAAGCGGGATATACCAATCTTTACATCTGTGGCATTTCGGCATTTTCGAACCATCTTTGTTTCTCAACTTTGAGGCCCGGAAAAAAGGAATACCACTTTTCTACCATTAGAGACCAGTTCAAAAATCCGTGCAAATTTTTTGGAAGGGGATCCAATTTTTAGGGTCGCTGAAAAAAATCTGATTTTTGGCTCCAAACTTTACTCGGATTACGACATAGGTGGTCTTTTCGCAAAACTTGCGCCGCTCTATCGAATAGTATATTAAGTCTGTTAGGAAAACAAAAACAGCTCAATTTAAATGAAATTGGAGTTTACTTTTGGGACAATCTAACAGCAATGGTTTCACACTTTCAAATGATCACATGCTAGGAATTTATAGGAGTCAGCCATTGATTCACTAGAAACTTACCAAAAAGGCTTTTCATTGCAAAAAAGATTACGCCTCTCTATGGCGATTTCTGCTCCACCTGAACCTGGTGTATGTTGCGAAAGCATTGCCAGGAGGAGAACAGGGAGTCTGTTTCTAGATTAGTCAAGTCTCAGTCATGAATAACATCATGGTGCTCCTACAATTTTTAAAAATCAAATCATCTGACCATGAAAAGTATTATGTTGTTACGTAGTCTTGTTACACTTTAACTTCTTACGGCGATAAGTCATGCACCTCATACTCTTTACAGGGCCCCAGGGCACCACTTGACAGAGCAAAGCAAGCTCTACTAGATGGTATGCGAAAGTTCGCATTCGCTTCGATCCACCATGAGTTTGCATCCAAAATCTGAGTACTGAAGGCTCAAAAAATCGCGGAAAATTCATATCTTGTTCAAAAAAAATTATAAGAATCTTCAACTTGCTCATAAAAATTGCGCACTATATCAGCGGCGGCGGCCCAGGAGTTCCCAAAGCCTCGCCGCCTTTCCTTGCAGGGGTACTTAGCATCCCCAAGGCGTCCTCGCACTTCTCAGACGGCTCCGCCCATTTGTCCCGCCCACTGGCTAATTTCATTGCGAGTTGTGCAGGTTTGGAGTACTTCTCAAGTGTTATGGATGAGTAATGAAGGATGGAAAGTGACAGACTAGAGTTTATGAGATCTACCATTTGGGACATGTTGCCTTTACAATATACGAACGCGAAATTTACTACTGAGAGATCTTTTGACCATGATGCATTAGTGTGGGCATCACAATGTCAGAAAAATCCGTTTTTCGACTTTCAGCCGAGATAAGTGTACATATACGCTTGGTTGAAAGTATGTCTATTGAGCAAGTTGCAGGTGTCCCAAATGTCTGACGGACTTTCGCCTTTTTTCGATTTTTCGGGCAGTTGGATTTTTCTAGTTTTTGGTTACAACTTCGTATAGCTCAAATTTGATGCAAATAAAATACAGGATCACAGAATCTCTATAAAACTGAAAAAATATGACACTTAATGTCTATCTACTATACTTATTACATCGATGCAATAGTTTTCGCCTAAATCAGAGGGAATCCGATAATTCACTAAAATCCAAACCTAGATTCATGGCTTGTTCGGAAAGACGTGAGTTTTGCCCTTTAAGATAGTTACCCGAAATCAACTTTTTGTTGGCTATCCTCAAAGACAAAGAAACAGGCTTCTAAAGATTGCACTTCAAAGTTCGTAATTTTGAGTTTGGTATTGAATAGTATCAAAGTGCCGAAAGCGTCTTCAAGAAATTTCTGGGATATTCATAGCAATCTTCCGTACGTGGCAAGCTTTAACCTATGGTAATGTGGAAATACAGAAACTGTGAAAATTATTCTTTTGTAGAGGAGATTACCTCCTTACCAAAAATACCACTCAGTGCTAACTTTGAGTACTGTAAGGCCTTCTCGGGTATGTCAAAGTGTTTCTACTTATAGAATGCAATAATAAGGAAATTTACCTTCCATGATTTTCCATGAATTTTTGCATTTGCATATCTATGCTATTCCCGCACTCCACAGTCCCCGAAGGAGACCAATAAAGGAGTAGAGCGATAGGCGGGGCTTGACCTCTGCGCGAAGGTGCGAGGAGCCTTCTGGAGTGTGAATGCTGGTGCGAATGGAGGTGCTAGGAACTCCTGCGTCCCCTCCTATATCAGACACTCATTTGTACAATTGCTGTATTTTTTTTTCACATCTAGAAATTGAGAAAACGAAATTTTTCTTGCTTTTACAAAAATGAAGCTATGCTGTTCGTATTCATGTAGCTGTATACTACAAGCCCTTAGAAGTATAATCGTAAATATGCAGCTTTCTGGAATCCCTAGTTTTCGAAAATTAGCTAATTTCGCATTGAACATCCGAGTGAAAAAAGCTAAAATCGGTCTTCTTCGAAAACTAGGGCTTCTGAAAAGTTGAAAATTTACGGCCATACTTCTAAGGGCTTGTAGTATACAGCTACATGAATAGGAACAGCATAGCTTCATTTTTGTAAAAGCAAGAAAATTTTCGTTTTCTCAATTTCTAGATGTGAAAAAAATACAGCAACTGTACATATGAGTGTCTTATATAGTGTGCAATTTTTGTGAGCAAGTTGGAGATTTTTGGAATTTTTTTGAACAAGGATATGAATTTTTCGCGATTTTTTGAGCCTTCAGTACTCAGATTTTGGATGCAAACCCATGGTGGATCGAAGCGAATGCGAACTTTTGCACATTGCCTTGTAGAGCTTGCTTTTCTCTATCGAATGGTACCCTGCAGTCCTATTGAAATTGTGAATTCACGACTTATCGTCGTAAGAAATTAAAGGCAGCGTCCATGCAGATCTGGACCTATGGGGCTTTCACGTGGAAGGTACTTTTGGGGCCCTAACTAAGGCACTGCCCAAGCGGCAGCTCAGGTAGTGCTGTAATGGCTGAGTTCCCCTCGAAACTGGACCCCACGACCGTGTTTCGCATCGATTCATGGCGCAAAGCGTGGATCCTGGCGCGAAACTGCCATGAATCCATGCGAAACACGGTCGCGGGGGCCAGTTTTGAGGGGAATATCCCAGCCATTACAGCACTACCTGAGCTGCCGCTTGGGCATTGCCTTAGTTAGGGCCCCAAAAGTACTTTCCACGTAAAAGCCCCATAGGTGCAGATCTGCCTGGACGCTGCCTTTAAAGTGTAACAAGGTTTATGTAACAACCTAATGTATCATAACGTGTATTAGCACATTCCAGAATAGCATGTGTAGGCTCCACTCCCAGTGCTTGACACGAAGTGATCAGCCTAGCACTCAACACTTGGCGAAGCAGACACAGTTTTTGATTGGAAGTCATGGAAGCCATTCTATCGTTATCTGGGGATGCCTAAAGATGATGATAATTACTTGAAAAAGTCAATAATGATGCTTTCTGCTTTAGGTGATGTTAAGTTAAATAAAGCATGCTTCTGACTAATATTTGTAGTGGTAAAACAATCATTCTGCAACAGCATGAGAAGTAAGGGCGTGGAGAAGATAAAAATGGCTTATGTGGCCACTGCTAGAAAAAAAAATGATTTTGCTGCAAACCAAAGGAATCCAATTGCATTTTTCTTGCAATTCAAGGGGTGCTGAGAACGAAACTGGTACTGCGCTCTACTGCAACCCGCTGAGATGCCGGATTTCAATAGGACTTAATTAGTTAGTATTCATATCTATGCTTGTCATCGTATACCGTTTTTCTATTACTCTATGCAACTTCGTTCGAGAATTCGAAAGATCGCTGAAAAGATTGCCTGCAAGGGTAGAAGAGGCTTAGCTGAGGGCCAGTAATTCAAGGGAAATGCAAGCAAACGTGGGTACCCCAATATGTCATCTAAAACTGGATCGAAACGATAGCTAAGCCGTTGCTCTAACAAGGGCCATACAAGTCATATAATTCGCCAAAAATTGATTTTGAGGTTCAACACGGTCATTTACTTTGACGTACTTGAGAACGGTGCCCATACCTTCGATACATAGAGCCACGTACTCTGGTAACCTTCACTTTGAGTGTCATGAGAGGACACAACCTTCACCTGGAGAGGAATACAGAAGTCATCCGGGGGGGGGGGGAAGCCCGGATATTATGGCATAACTAATGACTAACTATGTTAGGATGAATTTGAATGAGGCAAATATAGTAGTGACATCCAAAAAAAGCTCAAAAAACCGAAGGATTGCGTTTTTATGGCCTTTTTTTGCTGGAAAGAAGGTTTTTCTTCAAAAATTCAGTTAGAATTTAGGATGTAACTTACCAATTAACCTTTCTGTAGACTGCGATTGAGCGTTGGAGGTTCATGAAAGCCGCTGGAATTCAATAAAAACGAGAAACTGCGCTGAAATCTTGCGCAGAGAGTCGCCACATAAATGCTGGTCTATCTCGTTATGGAGTGATTTTCAAGACCTGCGACGTTGTCAGTGCTCCTGGCCGTCTCATGAGGATCACAACGATATATAATATTATAGGGTTTTGTTATGACCCCGCGGAGATCAATGACCAGAGCCAAATGCCCCGGCGGCTCTGGCCTGTCTCCGCTGCTCGTCTGCGTCTCCGCGCGCTGCGCGCTACCTCGCTACCCCAAACGCAGGGTGCGGGGCATTTGGCTCTGGTACCCTTTTCTTCGCTGTTTCGAATCCAATTTTAGCAAGCTATATATCATTTTGAAGCTCTTGATCTCTATTTTCACGCTGACAACGTCGCAAGACACCTTTTTATGATTTAAACGAGAAATCCGGCAAAAACCTTGTTTTCGAAAATCTCTCGTTTTTCTCCTAGTTTGACTCTTTTCACGCAGTTTTTTTGTGTAGTCGATAGGTCTTGTTTCTGTCTACAATGTAGACAACGTCGCCGAGCTTATTTCTTTGCTTATGCCGGTTTTTTTTTGTGAAAATTACAAAAAAAAATGCGTTTTTCTTTACCTTATTCTTTTTCAGTGGTTTCGCAACGAATTTTCTCCAGCTTGAACGATTCTTGCTCAGAATGATGAGCGGAAGAATCCAGACAACGCCGCAGGGTACAAGAGGGACGGCGCGGGGGAAAAATTTAAAGGACGCATCAAAAATCAAAACCCCGTGTTGCGAATTGCTGATCTTAAAGCGAAAACTTGCACTTTAAATAGAAGCCAAACGAAAGATTTCAAACCTTATTGCAGCATTTTTATCTCTTTTTCAGCAGTTTCTCTTGCTTTTTATATCTATTTTACGTCATTTGTTCTTTTCTGATCTTCTTCAACAACCTTCACTATTTATGACGTCAGATGTTCAAACAACCTTCACTTTTGGCGCCCTGTCTCTAGACTATCGAAGGTATGACGGTGCCTGATGTCGAAGATAGTACGGTTTTTGGGTCTTACATTTGAATCATTGCCATAAAAGTCTTTTATATAAATGTTGCCGAAAAATTGATCAGGGTCGATTTTTTTCCATTTTTCTGTGCTTATTCATCAGGATACAAATATCCAATGATAGCATGATTCATTTTACTCTTGTTTTGCTCTGCAAATTTGATAACGGTTCAAAATTACACAAACGCCCCAAATTTTGCCGTTTACCGGACTTTTGCAAGAAATGAAAAAAACGTTAGTATAATGTAATAGCCGAAAAACGGTATATGCAGAGGGTGCAACGGAGGATTTATTAGTTGGATTTAGTTGACTAGCATTCATATTTGTACTTATCAGTGTAAACGTCTTTCTATCAATTTTTGCAACATCTCTCGAGAATTCGACGACCGTTTGATAAATGACTAACGCCATGCAAGGGAAGAAGAGGTTAAGTTAGAGGCACCGTTCACCAGATCCTCGACTTCCAGGTTTTTGTCGTTTCAGGACCTTCTCATGTCCCTGATTCCGAATATGAAGTCGAGAATCCGCGAAAACCCGACATTCCCCATTCCGTAGAACCCACATGCCGGCTCCACAGAAGGTGATTGGATGAGCGCGCACAAATGGGTGGGCATGGATAGGGAGGGGCGGGCATGGATGGGTCCTCGTGCATCGTCGCTGTTCCAAAGCGATTTTCGCGCTTCCGAAGCGGCATATTGCGCCGGGACTTGGGTACTGGCTTGATAGGAGGCCCTCCTGTTATATGCTGCCAAAAGCTCAACACCCTCAATTTAGGGTGGACGGTGCCTTCAAAGGCAGCGTACACCCAAAATTTCACTTTCGATGTTTTTGTCATTCTGGGGCCTTTCCGTGCCGCTGATTACAGTTATGTCATTGAAATCCTTCAAAAGTCCCAAAAAACCCCGATTTCCGGGGACCCTCTCTTCAGAGGCGGACGAGTTTCGAACTGCTCGTCCTCGTCGGCATGCCAGCAGCTGCGACAGCATGACAGCCTGCAGTTGCAACTGCAACTGCTGCATATGCTGTCGTGGTTCGTCGCCCGAAGGAGGCGCACAAAAAGTAACTGCACTGTTGCAACTGCAGTTGCAGATGCAACAGCATTGCAACAGAAACTGCAAAGGCAACTGAAGCTTACGCTGTCGTGGATTCGTCCGGAGGAGGCGGAGTGAAAGAAAAAGGGCGGAGTGAAGGAAAATTAAGGGGGGTTCTCTCCGCTCAGAAGCAACATTGGGAGACCGGACCAACGCAGTTGGTCTTCTTCTGGGCCCAGTATATACACGAGAAAGATCTAGGAAATTCGATAGCTCAGATTTTGAGTGTACGCTGCCTTTAAGCGGCTAGTACTCAGAGGCAGTTTTAAGCAAATCTGTGCACCCCTGTCTCACATCTAAAAGTGGGTATAAAGCTTTAACTAAGCCATTGCCCTCGCAAGCAACTTCAACTCAATACTTCTGGCTAAACTCCAGTAAAAAAATTTTTATTTTTAGCTCAAGATGTACAACAGTCGATAAGTTTGACATCGCAGCAACCTCTGGAGCTAATCAAAATGGACTTTGATAGATGTTTTAGCTGTCAAGTCAATCAAAAATACCGGCCAGTTCAGCTAAACTTCCCAAGATTGGAACGTCTAAAAAAACAGTATCTACCGTAATTGAACTTAGGAGTGCGTGCACATTCACTTTCAGTTAAAACAAGCAGTGGAATGAGCTACAACATTTTGAGACCAACGAGTAAAAGATGACCGGAAATGTTCCAGAGTACCTTTTGTGCGCATATTTGACGCTGAAGCGTAGGCTTTACCACTAGTCAAAATCCAAAGGAAGTTAGCCTTACTATATTTAATAGTAACCCCGTAGCGTACCGCAAATGTCAGTAGCCGATATTTCCCGAATTCATATTTGTATGTCTCTACCACACAGAAAAGGGAAAAGGGAAATTGCTGCATTTTCTTTAGCCACTCTGTTTTGCCTATTCACAGTTGTCAATTTCTTAATGACAACAAAAATCTTCTCTTCTTTTTTATGTCCGTCTGCGTATACCAAGCAAAGTAGTGAAAGTAAATCCTGTGCTTAGGTCAAATCTAGGTGTTTATTAACCAATAAATACAATTATTAATTGTACAGTACGGCTATACAAATGCTGAAAACTACTACCAGTATAATGATATTGCACAAAAGTGGTAGTTAGAGAACCCAAGAAAAACAGCAATGGAATTTAAAAACATTTAGAATGCTTAAACGAGCATAACTTTACATGGGACTATACAATTCACATTACTGCAACACCAAGTATGTACAGTATACAAGACATACTCAAAACATGCCAAATCAATACAAAAAGCTTACATTGGACCGCTTGGGTTTGTTTTCAAGCTCTAAATTTTTGATTGAGCAGCCATAATTGGGATGTTTCTCCTGTTTGGTCTTTCCCGGTCTGCCTTTGGAGCTTCAATGCATAGGTGTCCTTTGTCACTGAGCTGCGTACGCATGGACTCCAAATCTACGGTTTCGGGTAGAGTCCATTTGCGGATGAATGACCTGTACAAATGAGTTGAGAAAAAGGAGTGAGAAATTGATGAGTTTCTCACCTGTGTATGAAGCTGTTTTCACACTTGTGCTCTTGCTTTCCTTCCACAGTAAGTTCTCTGCCGTCCAGGTGCACCTTCAAGTCTTCGGGACGTAATTGTGAGACATCGAGTGAAACAGCGAATTTTTTGTCATCGTCGATAACCTAAACAGGGCAATTCAACATCCAAACGCCAGTAACCTAGAAGAAAGGTGGATCTACCTTTTGCGTATCATTGCCAACATGCAGCGTGGAATGATCAGCATCTCTCCAGTATGGGAAGATGCTACGATCTATCTATGGATGCAGTCGTCCATGAGACGATCCATCAGGCGAGGAACATGCCAAAGTGAGAGCGACATAGCTTAGAATCACAAATTGTACAAGTCCTGCACTTATATAGGGATCACTAAACCTTCCGCGATTATTCGCGAATGTTCTAGAAGGGCGCTGTAACGCCCCTATCAGCTATGTAAGCAACGCCGCGCCCGCCCACTTCGCGAACGTTCTCCGCTATTCAGGCGACGCCTGGAAGCATTGATGACTAATTGCGGCATTGTTCCACCCTTATCCTATAAGTGGGCTAAAAATTTTACGGCTGAAAGCTAACATTCCCATCAACTTTGCACCGAGTGGGTTACCTAAATAAGACATCGGCAACAACTTACTATACAGATTTGACATGCGAGAAGCTGTATGTATGAATAGACTAGCACTTTCGAGTCAATTCCCAGCTATTTCCAGAAAATCACTCATTCTTCTCACAGGGACATAATTAGCAACTCGCCTCCGCCTTTTATTGGGTTGATCGATAACTCTTGCGCCAAATACAAAAATTTGAGTAAAAAAATTCAAATTTGTTTCAGGAAAGAACTGCTTCACTACCTCCTAACAGATTAACCAGCAAAACACTTACATGGATCATTTACATGGATAAAATTGTTGCAGAAAGTGGTAAACATGGCAGAAGAGAGTTATATAATCTTTACTGGCTGCGCTAGAGAATGTCTTGAGGGGTCTCTTGCTAAAGGTAATCCTTCATCGTTTGTCAAGCAATATGCAGGGTTCCCATATCATGCTGGTCTTTTTCATTATGTAGGTTTTTATCTACATAGAAGTTGTATAAGTATGCTTGCATCAAGGAAAAATAGTCCGTTCAAACACATTTTCAAAAGGCTTCACTTGATATTAATCATAATATCACTTGAAAGAAATGTCGTATTCTACTAAGCATGTCTGCCTTTTTACAAGAACAAAATCGAATAGCCAGTTAGAAAGTCTCAAAGATCACCTTTTATGGATTCCAATCAGCACAAAAAAAGAGTGAGCCGTTGAACCATAATCAAACGTGATTTATTTTACTATTTATTATTATATTATTATTTATTATTTTATTATTATTTATTTTTATTTTCTCATGCATGTGAGCAATTTTAGCTCAAATGAGACCAGTTTGATTATTTTTTTTCAGCTTCTCCGTGATGTTCCTACATGTATTTTGTTTATAGCATATTCAAAAACGCAAGATTTCATTTTTACACTAATAATGATCGACAAATTCACGAAACATAGAACTTTATAATTTCTCCGAATATTTTGGTTCTAGAAATCACTCAGCAGAGATGCGACGTCTGAGATCATTTCTTGCTGTTCATTTCTAATTGCTGTTTCATCAGACAGTGATGAAGCGTCAGTTTCCTTGAGACAAATTTCGTCTAAAGGGTCGGGCATACTTCACGCGATTTCAATCGCGACGCGATTTGGCAAATCGCCAGAAGACTTCAGATCCAACACTAGCAAATTGCGTATGCATAGTGTGTATAACTTACGCGGATTGATAAAATGCCCTGTCTTCTGTGCATTTAAAATGTGCTTACAAAGAATTATGGACAGTTGGAATAATGCCAAATCGAGTCGCGATTGAAACTGCATGAAGTATGCTCGGCCCTTTACGGCTGTATTAGAACATTCGTGAGGGGCGGGGCATTCCTATGTTTACTTCGAGCAGCCAACACGCCACGAATATTCGCGAAGAGTCGGGAATTTTCGCAGACGGGGTGGCTGCTAGGTATAAAATGGGGGCCGCAGGTGAGCCAGCATCGGTCCAGTGACTTGTACCCTCATCGCAATGGCTCTCTACTTCGTACCATCACGCTCCAGTTTCCTCCGTCGAGAACGAGGTTTCCTTGACGATATTCTCGATGATATCGACCGCATGGAGGCAGCGATAACACCAATGTTGGCAGCTGTCTCGCATAAAGCGGAAGAATCTGCTGGAAGGCTGAATAAGGTGGGTTCAAACTTTCTTTATAGTTTTTATACAAGGCATAAATCTCGTCTTTAGGTTGTTGACGATGAATCCAAGCTAGCAATCTCCTTGAATGTTGCGAACTTCAAACCGGAGGAACTCTCAGTCGATTTGGACGGAAGAATCCTCAAAGTGCAAGGCAAGCAAGAAATCAAGGAGGAGAATGGTTACTCTATAAGGTATGTTAATTTAGCGCACATAAAACTTTGCAGTCCTCATAATCTCATTTTAGGACTTTCGTTCGACAATGGATGCTTCCTGAAGATGTCGATGTGGAGCAATTTAAATCTACCCTGACTGAAGATGGTCACCTTGCTTTGGAAGCGCCCAAAATCACGAAGAAATCAACCATCAGAAGCATTCAGATTGAGAAGGCTCCTGCCGCAGTAGCAGAGAATGGGATCAAGCAACAATGATTTCCAGTTTGTACATCCAGTATTTTCTAGCTTGCCCCCTTAGGCCCCGGACAGACTTCACGCGATTTGATCGTCGCGACTGAGTCGCGACGAGACAACTGTTACAACATCATTCCATGCCGATCAACTTGCATTTCGGTTGTGATACTTTTCCAGCCCGAAATTTTTGAATGTGAAATGAAAATGAATGAAATGTAAGCGGTTGAGTCGCGACGATCAAATCGCGTGAAGTCTGTCCGGGGCCTTACGTGTATTTTTTGTTCTGCCATATTTGTATACTATGTAAACTATAATAAACTAATAATATATGTCTGTGTTAAGCATTTGAACAAGCTTTAAACAAACAAACAAACTCCATACATGGCCAACTTGTAGCTCAGCACTTAAAGCATCAACCGGCGAGCAACCCGGGAGTTACTCGGTGCGGCACTTTTTCTTCTTTCAGAAAAATGTTTTTTTTTTGTTCCTGATTCGTGAAGTCTTGGAGGATAAAATTGAAAAATTCATATTTTTAAGGCTCCCAAACTGTACCCCGAAAACCCAGTATCTGATATATCGAACTCTACCCTAATTTGTTTTGTTAAAGGCAGTGTCTCACCAAGACAAAATAGTGCGGATCGGATGATGTTGCTCCCACCGTGGAAAAGTCTAGACTGAGAAGCTATAACTTGTCCGCGCTGCTTCCACGGGGCTTTGAAAAACGGGGTTTTTGTGCATTTATGCGATTTTGGACCCGTATTGAGTTAGACGGGACGAAAAGGCTTGCAATGTGCAAAAATCTCGACAACCAAATTTTGATGAGACAGTGCCTTCAAATTAGTGTGCTGAATCACAATCATTTTTGAAAGTATCGGAAGTCTGCGTCCGATATGCGACTGCTAAATTCCATCGTTAATAATTGTGTCAAAAAAGCTTTGGCGAGCTCTGGCGAGCTGTTTGCTCTATCCATTGGTTACTTGAACTTCTTCGCGGAACTATAAAGATTTGAACAAAAGCGAAAGTTGACTTTGGTAAAAACCGTGTCGTCTATTTTTTGGTAATTTTTTGAGAACTCGTTTTGTTGAAACAACAAGAAAACGAGAAAAAAACGTTTGGAAGAGCATAAAAAGCATCGAATGCTACCACAATCTTCCATAAACGTTCGTTCCGCGCACTGTGACGCTTGTTGAAAGCGAAACATACTTTCGAGACGACCTAATATTTCTGCCTGAGCAGGTTTCAAACGGATAAAGACGTACAAAATGTTAGAAAAATTATCGCATTTATCGCAAACTTTTGAACACATATCGGGTTCCTTACATAAGAGCCTCCATATATCCTCTTCGATATATGGGCCAACAAACTTTCTAGTCGATGAACAAGGGTACCTATCAAACGTATTTCTTTCTAGTTTGTGTGACCATTGATAGCAGGTTCAGGATGTGGAATTGCTACTGCGATGTCAAAATGCTTCTATCCTCCCAAACGTAGATCAGTAGTGGGTACCAAAAATTTCCAAAATTTCCACCTAGGCGGGTTTCATAAGCCTTTTTTTTTCAAAAAAAGTTTTTTCATAAACCTTTCTGCGGGAAGGAGAATGAGCACCACATAAAAGGAGGATGTGGCGTTAGACGTCCGTACATTCTTTGAAACCCTTCAATTTTGCAAGTTAGAAAATTGTATAGATAAATTAGTGAATAAATAAATTCATGGAACCATTTATTACAACTCAAAGCAAGTCGTACCTCTAGCGTTTCAGTTGTTCTCAATTTTATCGCTTGCAATCATGCTAAAATAGCGAAATTACCGAAGATAGTACACCAAATCAAAAGGATGTATAAAACAGCACACATTGTTCTAGTTATGTGCCCTAATTGCAAGAGTGCGGGGCACTTTTTTTGGAAGCGCGGCAGCCCAAAGGATTCCGCGACCAAAGCACCAGGGCTCGGCAGGAGGTGGCTTTTCGAAAAAAATGTGGCTTTTCGAAGAAACTGGAAAAAACGAGCCCCTTTGACTTTCTCAAATTTTTACGAAGTTTGCTTTGACCCTAAACCCCAAAGTAAAAATCCTCAAAAAACGAAGCGTCGAATAAAAAAAACGTTGCAATTTTTGTGTCGTTTTAGCCACAAAAATTGCCACGATATTCCCTTTCCTTTTGTCCCAAAAATTCGGCTTGACGCGGGCGCCAGCTGTGCCAAGCCCTGCAAAAGACCCTTTAGGCACTGCACTTACCCAAGAAAATTGTGAGCTTGCATGTACCCATGAAAAGTCAAAGACGGGAGCATTTGGTGAAGTGTAATAGCAGCTTGGTTGATGAAAATCAAACAAGAACAGGTTCTTCTTCGTAAGCTTTGGAAAATCGCTCAGATTTTGGAAATTGCTTTGAAGCTCTGCTGGGCATATCAACGCAAACGGAGGCATCTATTTGAATAGCGCAATTAAGGTTATCCTCAGCAGATTCAAAGCTCTGCAGTTTTAGGAGCACTAACAATGCATTTACAATTTAGGACCTTCTTGCATAGGACCTTTCCTTATACAGCACCAAAAAACTGACAAGATAGCATGACGGGCCCTGTTCACTGGCGCTCTGATTCCCGTTGTATAAAGCGACATTTTTTAACATATCTCAAAATTGAAGAGGAAGCACCGCTGTATTTTTCAGGGTACGACTTTCGATAAGCCATTTCAAGGTATTTGCCTGAAACAATGATACTACAGAGAGAGAGTTCCGGTCATAGCGTTCATGAAGATACAGCTAAAATCAGGATATTATTCATGTTAAAAAAAAACTGTAGCAAATCGAGTCATTTCTTGAGCATTTTACCCTCAAACTAAATCAAAGTGCTTAGGCGCCCTAATTCACTTCGTGCAAATTTTTTTGAACGAGATGGCATTGGACTCGAAGCGTTTCCTCACTTTCGTACTTCTGTCAAAATTTTTACCGTTCAAACTAGAGCGTCTACAAAATATTTATGCCTGATTCTCACAATGTCGGGGTCATTTAATAACTTTTATCGTAATTAGAGAAGGTGTTGAGTACCTCCTGTAGTTTGATAGAGAAAACTGTAGCTGAATTATGACCATATGTCTTAGAAATTTTAGAGTGGGTCAAAGTAGACCTAATTCACCTTGAAGCTAACAATTGGGTCTACACCAACGCATATTTGTTCAAAGACGTTTGAAAACGGCTAGATCTTATCTACGAGACTATTCAGTTATCGGAATGCTAGAGCTGTACAAAAAGGACAAAGTCATGGTTGCCTTTTGTGAAAGTCCTACAGAAGTTCCGAATGCTTTTAGAAATTGTTCATGCTTTAGAGATTTTGTTTTGTAATCTAGCAAACTTGTGAGCAAGACTTCTTGCAGCGACGAAAAAATTGCTGACAAACTTTACAAAGCTGTCCTAGGGTACTCAAATTTCCTAATATCTTTCATACTAAAAAATTATTGTCTGTCAAAAATATGGAAAGGTTAGCTATGGTACTATTGGTTATTACTTCAAAAAGGTGAAATAGTTGGGAGAGAAAAGCAAAGTAATAAAAAATCTTTGAGCTTTTTCACGCTTTATGATCTCAATGGTGCTACCTTTACCCTATTCAGGCGCAGTGTTTGTGAGGCCCTGAAACGGTATTCAATTCTGTACCATCTCTTATAGACATCGTCTTACACCCCTGGAAGTACTTCTTCAAATTCTACTTTATCTTATTTACTTTCCTCCCACAGTTTCTTCTTTTCAGCTGTCTGTTCATCTAATCTTTGGGGGCAAAGCACTTTCTACAGCATCTACTCGCTTAAAAATTAGATCTGTTCTGTTTTGTTGAGGCTTTCCAAAGGTTTGCATCAGATTTGAGGAAGCGGAATAATAGTGTGAGAGTTCCTCGCATGACTTATACAGCAATAAATGTGTATAAATTGCCTTTCTAGTATTTCATACTTTTACGGAATGACTGGCAAAGAATTTGTATGGCTGTGTTTTAGGAGAACTTGCTCTTTTGCTAGGCTTAACGACTCTAGACACTAAGTGTTTATTTAAGTGTTTGAAACATATACATAAAGATTTATATACATACGCGCAATTATGGTAATTATGGTCAAACAAATAAGTAGAGAACAAGAAAAGGGGAGACAAGGTATACAAATGAGATCAGAGATTATTGCTGATGATTTTCGTTTCCCTTTACGGCAGCGGGCACCTTTTCTATCTGGATGCTTCTTGTGGTTGGCGATTTCTTCGTGATTTTGGGAGCTTCCAGGGCAAGGTGACCATCTTCAGTTAGAGAGGATTTGAGTTGCTCAACATCGACGTTATCAGGAAGCATCCACTGTCGAACAAAGGATCTAGAATTAGAGATGTAAAATTTTACGAAACCAGGATCTAGAATTAGAGATGTAAAATTTTAGCTTTACAAACTTGACCTACCTCATAGAATAACCATTCTCCTCCTTGATTTCCTGTTTACCTTGCACTTTGAGAATTCTTCCATCCAGATCGACTGATAGCTCTTCTGGTTTGAAGTTTGCGACATTCAAAGAGATGGCTAGCTTGGAATCGTCATCAGTAACCTAAAAACGACTTTTTTTGATAGTTCTGAGAATACTGGAAAAATCTGTAAGCTTACCTTTGCCAATTTTCCAGCAGAATCCCCTTGTTGATGCGAAACAGCTGTGAGCATTGGTACTATTGCAAACTCGATACGGTCGATGTCTTCAAAAATACTGTCGAAAAGGCCTCGACGAGCGAATCGTGATTGTGGTGGAAGGAAGTAGAGAGCCATAGCGTTAAAAGCACAGAACAACTAGGCTGGTGCTGAACCCAGGCGCAGCTGTCTTTATATAGCCAGTCGCGACTTCTTCTACGAAGGTTCCCGAGATTTCGCGAATATTCGCGATGCGCCGCTGTTCCCATCGTAAACAGCGCGTGCCACGCCCCTATTCGCGAACGTTCTGCTGATGCAGCAATGCACGCTCGGGTATACTAGGTATGCAAGCGGAAGTGTTAATTTGAACTTTCTCAAGACGCAATAACTGTAAAGTTTTCCAGAAGACATTTATTAAGTCACTGAGGGAACATAAAACACATCACGGAATGTTTCATCCCATAGGAAATGTCGAATTGTGCGATGCTTCCTGGTATTTGCTTTCTGTAGATCTTTCATCGTAGGAAACAGAACATCAAAAAATCTAGAAATTTTTGAGACAAGTACTGGTAGGTATCGTCATATGTTGACTGACTTGTTCACAGCAAAGACTTTGCGCCTTCAAGGCTTTAATCAAGGAAATACATGGGGATCTTTGCTCCTTGGGAGCTTCCGTTGGAAACTCTTTAATGTTCTAAAATTTGTTTTGTAACGAGCAGTGTAGAGTTGTTTGCATATTCAGATACCTGGATTATCTGTGGCAATGAAGGCCATAATGCTTACCTACCCAACAGCTGAGCTGCTCTATTTGTAGAGGAAAAAGATAGCTGATTTTGACCAAAAGAGCGACTAAATCCCTATTTTAGCTCAGTTCTCAACGCTCCTTGAACCAGTAAAATTTGCGAGTAAAGAAGCAAAGTGAAGAGGATTTGTAAATTTTATTTATAAATAGGTGAGGCTAGTTCAAATGCTTGGGGCAAAATTGGGCTATTTGAAGGTTTTTTGTAAAGCATGGTGAAGTACAGGGACATCCAAAATATTTGATCATCATAATACCTCTCTAATGCCTTTCGTCAACCTTTATTTATCATTTTCTAGAGCTCAACATTTATGTAAAACAACCTCTGATTTTCCTTGGTTATTTGAGTAATAAATCTTCCTAGAGTGTTCTGCACTATCGAGAGTTTTTCTAGTCAAGTAATTTCCACTGATTTGATTTACGAGATTTACGAGATTGCATTTTACCGTAGAGCTTTGTAAAAAAAATTATGTCAGGTATAAGGAGCGAAAGTATTTCCGAATTTCCAAGAATTTTATCACTTCATCCACATAGCTTTATAAACCTGAAAATAATCCTTTGGAAACGCACATCCAAAAGCTATTTAACAAAATGTTAAAAATATTCTGGATTTGAAATTTATGTCAACTGCACAACGCCAACATTTTGGGAGTTTTTAACATTATCCTAAAGTAACGAAGAACGATCAAAGCGTTCTTTCTGAACTCTGAATGTTTTTAGCCAGCTCTACAGGCTCCCGAAGTTTGAACAAAAACATCAAGACGGTATATATAAAAGACTAAAGTTATCCTATATTTTAATTATGGTATCTTTGTTATGCTGCACTTTCTGTGACTCATCAAAACGATGACCTGTTCGAGAAGAACATTCGCGAAGGGGCGGGCATGCCGTTGTTTATAAAAGCGTCGCGGGGTGCCCTCTGCGGAACATTCGCGAATAATCGCGGCCGGGTCAGCGAACCTAATATAAGAGTAGCTGATCACCCAAGCAGCAGCTCATACCGTACGTGAATCCGCTATGTCGCTCTCGCTCTGGCAAGTTCCTCTCATGGTGGATTATCTCATGGACGATTGCTTCCACAAGATGAATCGCAGCATCTTCCCTTATTGGAGGAATGCTGACCATTCCATGCTGCATGTTGGCAATGACACTCAAAAGGCAGGTTTCACCTTCTAGGTTACTATGGTGTTTAGATGTTGACTTGCCCTGTTCAGGTAATCGACGATGACAAAAAATTCGCTGTTTCACTCAATGTCTCACATTTTCGCCCTGAAGACTTGAAGGTGCACCTCGATGGCAGGGAACTGACAGTTGAAGGAAAGCAAGAACACAAGGGTGAAAACAGCTACATTCACAGGTGAGAAAACATTCATTATCTTCTTTTTCTTTAAATCCATGTTCCTCATTATAGGTCGTTCATACGCAAATGAACACTTCCGGAAAACGTAGATTTGGAATCTGTGCGTACGCAGCTCAGCGATAAAGGACACCTCTGCGTTGAAGCTCCCAAGGCAGATCCGGAGAGACCTAATAGAAGGAACATTCCGATTATGGCTGCTTCATCGAAAATCTAGACTTTGTTGTCCGAATCAAGTTCTGCAGTAGTCAATCTAATCATCCAACAACAATTACTCAAACTACTTAACCGATTAGTGCAGTAGTATAATGTGTCCTTCAAATATGTAATGGAGGCTTTTTCTAATTTTACGTGGTCTTTTCTAATATGCATACTTATTCGCATTCCTTTTCGCATACGGATTATACCCAGCCATTTCTGTTATCGTCTCAGGTGCTCGCCTATACTATTACCCTTCCTCAACCTTTTTCGTTTCATTGTACGTATTTTCGAGCTGTTAGTGTACTAGACTGTAAATAAAATGTATTGTCAAATCTGTTCTGCATACGGTTGTCAAAAGCGTGAGTTCCGTACTCGTAATCGACGGCGACTAGAATGAAAAGCGAAGAGAAAAGCTTAGAAAACTTAGTGTCGCTAAAATAGCCATTTCCAATAAGCTCTGAAAATCTTTTTGCGTGAAAGATTCTTCAAAAAATTACGAAGATACACTTAAGCTTATGATGATATCACATATAATGAAGACCTCCGACCGTTTTAAGTTTTTTTTTTTGATTTGAGAGATTTTAGGTAGAACTGGTGATCAATGAACTGTCCTTACATCTACTTGCTGCAACCAGCTTTATTTTCATAGTGTTTAGCCATGCTAGGCTCCGGTTTGCAGTCATGTATGTACGTAGATTCATCTACCATACACCTAGATCCCGCTGCCCTAGAACGCTCGAACAGCGTTTAGTGTATATATTTAGCACCTAATTCATGTAGTCCGTGTACTGCTGGCACCTAGTTAGTAGCGTAACATGTCGCACTACATATTTTGCAAATGATCCCATGTGGCGTAGATCAAAGGTTGCGACTGTTATTGTTAGAAACTTGTTTTCCAAAAGACATCAAAAAAAGTTCCGCATTTTACCTAGGCACATGATTTCGCGATTTTTCAAACTTTTGAAGGACCCGTAAGTTATTTTTTGAAGAGGTAATACTGGTAGAATTTTGACCCAGTACCGCTTTGCGCGAGACCATTAAAAGAGCGGCTAGTCCTCATGCAATAGCTGGAACTCGACGCAAGTCGTTTGCCAAATATGGGGGTCTGCTTTGGGGACGATCATCTCAGCCGCAACTGCACCATCTGCGCTGCTCGTTGGCATTATCTTCGACTAAAAAAATCAGTTTCCACTTGCGATTTCCTGGCGTCCAAATTTGCCTAAACGCTGCCTTTAAGTTTCAGCATTTCTTTTTTAGAACTTCACGACCCAAATTCTGCTTTTTGGGACTAATCTAAGGAGAGTGAAGTACATGGGTGAAGGGATAGGAAGTCCTTGGAGAGGAGAGTGACTCATTCTCGCAGCATTATGTTCATGCAGCTTCTCCTAGGAGAGATTTCAGTTACAGCTAACGTTGTTTTGTTCGGCAGTTTTGACAAATACCGGCGTTCAAACGTTTAAAAATGATGTCCGTCAACCTATTCGACTTGTTTGCGAATCTGCCTCAAATATAGGCAAGGTAAGCAAATAGGAACTAGAACTGTTCATGTGGAAACTGCCACAACTGAAGCTTTCCGTCAGCATCTTGTATAAGTGAATGCGTAGAGCTATGTAGGCAACATGGGACTTATACAAAAATTCTCCAACTATTATTCAAAGGATCAGAGACGATTTCTTGCAACAGAGAAAAGCGCATATACTTTGAGTAAATCGTAGAGTGCAAAATTTACAAGTTTGGTCCAATCAGATTTTACACGGTTTTGGTGAGAAGTGTTGAATATCTTGATCACTTGCGAGTCGTAAGAGCGAGTTTGAGAGATAACCTACTTACAAGGGAAGGAAGGTTGGTCGAAGTGAACATTCAGAATGAGATGTATACCGTTTTATAGAGTTTGAAACGCTGATTCCAACTCTTCCTTCGCTATCTGCTACGGACTTCTGCGCGAGGAGTTATGAAGGGTTTAGTGAGTAAAAAGTTAAATGCAAGATTAATGTATAATCAGTCGTAACATTTTTTCTAGGGCTTGAGAGGTAGTTGGGTCACTCGATGCAATGGATATTCTTGTTTTAAATACACCAACTCGCTGCTGCCTCATTCGAACGTTAAGAAAAGGTTACGAGTGATTTTGTACTAGTTTTGCAATCAAATTTTTACTCACAAAAACCTTTATAACTCCTCGCGCAGAAGCCCACAGCAGGTAGCAAAGATAGATTTGGATTCAGCGTTACAAACTCTACAAGACAGTATACATTTCATCTTAGAAGGCCACTTCGACCAACCTTCCTTTCCTTGTTAGTCAGGACTCCTTAACTACGTATTACTTGCATAGAAAGCCGGTGATTGATTACCTAAGCAATGCTCTTGAGGGGTACGATATAAAAAGGTAGAGAGGGATACGGTAGATAAGTAGGGTAAATTGTTGTAATCTTTGATATTCTTACCTTTTGTAGCAAAGTTATCAGTCTTGTATTCTATAACTGACTCATGAGCATATGCGTTCTCTTTGTTGCAACCTCTTTGAATATGGAAAATTTTTGTATAAACCCCATGCTGCTATACAAAATGCTAACGAAAAGCGTCAGTTGTGGTAAGGATTTTCTAAAAATAGGTATCAATTTTGTCAGAGTGGAAAATCGAATCAATGCCTTAGGCTGTCTAACCTAGGGCTCCCACCATTGGCCTACTAATACCGTAATGGAACAAGCGGTCTCGCTCCACTACTCCGTAGTAAGAGGGGGCCAATGGTGAAAGCTCATGTCTAGCTCTCACTAGCGAAGACTCTCATACATGGAACCGTTTGAGTTCTGCAAATGAATTGAGGAGGGAGTCATGGAACACCTGTTCGAATATCTGCGAATTTTGAATCGATGACCCCGATACTCTGAAGTCTTCTGATGCGCTGTAATATTTGATTCAAAGTGCCACAATTTTGGATTTTCAGGGTTTGATAGAGAGTTTACAAACAAGAACCCTCTGCGACTGAAACCGCCATATCTGCTCGTACTTGTATATTCGTAAGCCCTCATCTGAAAAAAACAGCGACGTGCAGTTGCCAATCAGTACTGCAAGGTGGCCTCCATTTTTTTTACACAAATTTTGCCTATACAAACTGAAAAGGCACACATCTTGGAGAAATCAAACATTGGATCGAGGAACCGCTCACTGACTTTAATCACTAAAATTTAGCTTTTTGAGTAAAGGTTTTGAAACCAGTTTTTTGGTCTTTCTTATAGTACCCATACTCTACTTATCGCACTCTAGGCCCTACTAGGCTCAGATTGGATGATGGACGCTTCTTTGTAACGGTAAAACAGATTCGGTCACTGCGGAAATGATAAATATGTACCGGCCTGGGTGATGAAATTAGCGAACCCAAAATCCATCTAAGATTACAAGAACTCTTCAGCTGTATTCTCGTTTGCTTGCCAGCGCAGTGTTCGCTCGGTAAGACATTAATCCTGAAAGAAGTGCAAGTTATTTATATCCAAAGTAAGCTTGAATCAAAATTCGAATTATAATAACATGGCTACGTTAGCATAGATAAATTGACATTTGAGGTCGAATTGCAGATAGCAATATGTCAATCAAAAAAAATCAGCTGATTTTTCCATTTTATTTTCTTCTCAGCTACGGAAACATTGTAATCCTTGGCGCTTAAAGTAGATGATTTGCCCCTATTTCTCATTTTGCAGGATGGCACGGCCATCTTCATTCAAAAAGTAGATTTGCTGACTCACGTCAACTTAGCAGGAGCTGCCATTCCTGAGTGAAACTTTGAAAGAAAACTGTAGCTTTGATCTTTCAAAAATTACTCTTCTATCATACCTCATGCACAGCATTCTATTCCCTGACTTCGTTCTTGCCCTTTTTTACCTAATCAAGGTAGTTCCCTCAAAAGTTTCGACCGCTTGAGTCTTGCCTATACTGGATGCTGACAAAACTTTTCCTCGCACCCTGTTGAGCTGATACCTTCTGCCCTGAAATCACTAGTGCATGTCACCCACTGAGAATTGAGAGAACATTCGCGAAAAGGCTGTTGTTTACGCTTTCACGTGAGGTTGCGGCGTATATCTCGCGAACATTCGCGAACATTGGGCGAAGAGAGCAGGCGGTCGCTATATAGAGACGCCCAAGAACAAGAACATCATCTTTAGTTCTATGTTACACCACCGTTATGTCGCGCTGCTTTCTTCCAGAAGCTCACGTCCCCGATCGTGGACAAAAATTTAGGGGCGATGTAGAGCAAGCTCTCGGGCCATTACGAGAAGCTGTTTCGCGTGGAAATTTCGACTCTGCCGGGAATCTAGTGGAGGTAAGATTTTTGATACTCAAGGTTGATGAGTTAAAAATGCTTTGTAGGTGATGGATGACGATTATAAGCTAGCCATATCGATGAATGTTGCTCAATTTACTCCAAAAGAGTTATCGGTGGATGTAGATGGACGTGTGCTCACCATTGAAGGCAAGCAAGAGAATGAGGAAAGCAATGGATCTTTCATGAGGTGTGTTTATGACGAAATTGTCGTTTGTTCAGACTAGTCCACTTCTTCATAGCTGATTTTTAGAAGTTTTGTCCGGCAATGGACCCTTCCTGATGACGTCGATGCAGATCAGCTGAAATGCACCATTACTGAAGATGGCTATCTTGCTGTAGAAGCTCCGAAAATTGTGCCGCCTATTTTGGAAAGCGCATAGACAAGGTCTTAATGATTTGGACTCAAACGCAGATACACTCTGTCCATGTAAATAACTCTTTAAATTTTGATTTTGGATTGTTTGGGCGTTTATCAATCAGTTATTTGGCATTGTATGTTCATGAAAAATTGTCAATAAATTGTAATAATAATAACCTCGCGAACAGTTTGACTATAACCATAGGCTATGAGGGGTTCCTAGCTGGATGTAATAAATATGTGGCTTTCCCGTTATGTGTGCAACTGCACATTTTCTGGGAGGCACTCGCTGCGAAGTTATCTTTTCTGTCCCTTTATTTGGCTTCCTCAGTTTTTTCGTGAACGACAATTGAAAAATCACAAGATTTTCTGAAGGTACAAAAGCAAGGCCCCAAAAATAGCAATGTTTTTGAGTTGAATGATTAGTCCTAATATCAAAAATATTTCTCAAATCAGAACTTTATGGGTACATAACATAAAATATGCTCTTGTTAGCTGGTGATTATTTTGGCCCTTAAGGAATCGGTTTGAAAAAAATAGAGTATGAGATTGAACAAACGCGAAAATCGTGCATATATGCCGAATTTTTGCAATTTGAATGTTGACAGGAGTTTGGATTCTACTCAAAGCGTTGGAAAGAGAAAAGTTGTATTTGCGGCTAATTGCCTAAGTCGTTATTTTGCACTTGCGTTTATTGCCAGAAAACGAACACACTCGCAGTGACCTAATGAAATTCCTTTGCATCCTTTGTAAAATCACCAGAATTGAGAAGTAAAACACTTAGTTAGATATCCACAGAGTCTGGTTCTAGAATGCAGCCAGCACATGATGAAGGATAATCGGAGGAAAACTGTAATCCACCAGAGGATAAAGAAATCGGAGGGAAAGAGTCATTTCTGAATGCTTTATAGAGCGTTTCAAAGGCTACTCAAGAATTTGCTTATTTTCGCAAAGGTTTTGAAGTAATGACTGAAAAACAACATAAAGTATATATAGTGAAAATTTGAAACATTGTGCAACAGGTTCAACGCAGACTATTCATATGTAGACATACATAGATTTCATTTATAGTTAGGACCATTACTACAAGACCAATTTTTCGGATTACTGCCATTTTGACCCCGTGGCTCGTACTGTTCGAAAAGGTTTTCTTTTTTGGTAAAAATTCGAAACATGTAAAAAATTCCTCAGAAGAGTTCTGAAGTCGTTTATTATGGAAATAAGACTTATTTGGCACTTCCCGATAAGGCTACGGTGGTCCTGTACGAACACCATACTATGATTTCCTTGGAGAATTGTGTTCCACATGCTGATTAGGATTATAGCCCCCATACTGAATACTTTGATGCTTCCGCTGTAGTACAGTAGCTTCCGTAAGGATCAAGAAACTGATATAAGAAGGCGTAGTAGAACCCGAGGCTGTCACTTTCCTAATTGCTACAAAACTTATATGCGTAAGATTTTAGCTTTCTAAGATAAAAAGGCAAAAAATCAATAAAGTCGATAAAAAGATAATGTTTTTTACTGCTAGCATGATCTTCTACCTGCATTTTTTTGCATGCACATTTGAGTTTCCAGAAACAGCACATCGTCTTCCGAAGAGTCTGAGTCAATGCGCCACTCTATCTACGGTATACCAACTACACCAAGTACAGTATCCCGAGCCAGGACCACTTTGATTGCAGCTCTCCTAGGTGTCCCCAACCATGTGCAGAACACCGTTCAATTTGTGCTAAACTGGCGAAGTTGGAGCTTCAGGAACCTTAGGACCCACCGGTGAGTCGTACTGTCGTGAATATGTCAATGATTGTGGGATATGATTCCGGCAACCATAACAGAACAAATCACTGCTCCTACCCTCGGAATCAAAGCAATCCGTTTGCTCATTTATCTTACCACGCGTAGCTTAGGTTCTTCAGTAGACCTCCAAACACAAGAACAACTTCGATAGAAGCTTTCTTCCTGCGCGACATCAAACTCGATATCTCAGAAGGTCTTCATATGTAATTCCAACAGAGAAGGTTCTTAGGCCGTGAACTTATCATCAGCGGTAACATGGCCCTAAGGCAGCACAGGTCTAATCAAAAAAGTATGAATTACAACGGTAAAATAGGAATATTTTCAAAGCAATCAGAAGCCATTGTACTGCCATTGTACTTATCTGTTGCACTTTTTTTCCGTCAAAAGTGTTCCCGTACATTATAAGTCAACAAAGTCTGTGTGTGGATTACGAAAAAAGCTTGTAAATTTGCATTCATAAGGAATAGTAAAAAAACTGCTATTATTTGAATGGTATAATTTGGTGCCTCCCAATCAGTTCGACCTATAAATGTAAGTTAGGCCTTCAAGCCTTTGTGAGATTTATCGAGAATTTGTTTCAAAAGCCAGAGATGCATGCTTTAGGTTATTTGCTCAGTAGTTGTGAGAATTTTGTGTAAGATGCTGGAAGGTATCGCTCCGAATAGCGCGGAACATTTGCGAAGGGGCGGGGCCGTCATTTGTTTACGTCGCCAGAAGAGCGAGCGAAGACGCCCGTTCGCGAATGTTTGCGAATAATCGCGAAAATGTCGCGGCGCATACATAAAAGCGGTCGGGAGTCAAGGCAAGCAGCAGTACCGATGTTGAATTTAACGCTATGTCACTTTGCCCACTTCCATCGCTATCGTTGGACCCATTTGGCATTTGAAGAAAGCGAAGGTTCCTCGACAGCTTCTTTGACGATTTTGACCTCATGGAGCAAGCGTTGAGGCCATCGAAAGCAGCATTGTTCGAAAAGGATGGCTGTCCCGATAATATTGATAAGGTAGGTTGCGCTAAACATAATTTATTCTGCGCCTATAAAAAGGGCGTTTTTAGGTAGTGAATGACGATTCCAAGCTATCGATTTCCCTGAATGTGAAGCAGTTCAAGCCAGAAGAAATGTCAGTAAATCTGAATGGAAGAACACTCAAGATCGAAGGCAAGCAGGAGATCAAGGAAAGGAATGGATACACCACGAGGTATGTCTCATTTTTGATTTGTTACCTATAAAACATGATTAGAATGATTCTATTTTAGAATGTTTGTTCGACAGTGGAGGCTCCCCAAAGAAGTCAGTGTTGAAGAGTTAAAATCCAACCTTACCGAAGATGGTCACCTTGCCGTTGAAGCACCAAAAATAACGAAAAGGTCACCTACCTCAAGAAGCATTGAGATCCAGAAGTCAGCACCACCTGTGAAGGAAAATGGAGAGGTGAACAACAATACTTCATCACGCTTACACTTACAATCAGGGACCGATAAAAAATGATCTCGCATAGATGTGTTTTTTCTCTATGTGTTTATATTCTAATATATTGTACAAATAAATGAATTAAACTATGTTTCTCTGAGGAAAATCTCGTGATAGTACAAAACGAATAATCAATCTTAGGAAAGCGATGGAGATTGGTTACTGTCACTTTGATAGAACTTTTAAAAAGCTATCCGCTGATATAGAAGGTTTACCCAGAGTCTGAATATGGACGGAGATGTGCTATGCATTCCGAAGACTCCGGAGAGTTATTTAAAATTTTTTGATCTCTGGTATTTGGCCTCTGTAATATAAACGAGTATAGGTGTTAGTTAGCGGTGTGTAAGTTATAGAAGATGGGTGCAGTGGTGCAGCAGGGTAAGAGAGTAGGTGGGGCTTGGGAAGGGAAGGGGCTATAAGTAGGCGGAGCTTGCAACATTGCATGGTCAAACTTCCTATGAAAATTCTGAAAAAGAAAAAATGTAATTGATTGACAATTGAAAAACCTGATACAATGACAGAAACTGTTGATTTTGAAGATTTGATAGTTTAATTATTGATTGTTGTGAATTCTCGAAGATCAACAAAATTCATATCTTGAATGCTGCAGACTTTCCCAAAATTGCTTTTCAAATAGCTAAATTCTATGGTTTGAATCCTCGAAATATTAAAAATTGGTGTTGCAAAAACTCGAAAATCGACAGAAATTTTAGTTTGGATCACCAAAAATCAAAGGTTTGAAATTTGAAAAATTCATATTTTGAGAGCTCGAAAATCGATATTTTGAGGACTCGAGATTTAACAAAATCAATACCTTGCAAGCTTCAGGCACCAAAAAACCCGTTATCTGGCAATTTATAAAATCAATATATTCGATATTTTGGAGGCTCGCAATTTGAAAGAATCGATATTTTGAGCCTCGAATTGAAAAAAAAAGTATGTTGAGGACTTGAATGTTGATAGAATCGATATCTTGACGACTTGGAAATTGACAAAGTCAATACTGTACAGGCTCTGGCACCAAAAATCCGTTTTTTGGACATCCAAATGTCGATAATATCGATATTTTGAGAACTTGAAAATCGATAAAATTGCTGTTTTACAGACTCCAGGGGTCAAAAATCAGTTTTATGAACGTCCAAATATCGACAGAATTGTTATTTCGGAGGCTGGAAAAGCGATAGAACCGAATTTTTGGAGATCTCAAGTATCACACTTTGGTATTCCGAAGATTCAAACGTCGATGACATCGACGTTTCGAGCTTCGACTACCGATAAAATTGAGGTTCTGGTCACTCGGGAATCAAAGAAATCAATATTTCGGGGACAGAGAATCGATAATATTTGGTACTATTGATAATATCAATACTGAGGTTCGAATTACCTCTTATTTTGAGGTTTCAAAGCATGCTTAGGCCCGAATACGGGCTAACCGTGGTGCTTAATAATTAACCGAAAAAAAACTCTATAGAGCTGCGATGGTACTGACTACCGTATGCAAACTTGAAACAGAAAAATCCTATGGATTGCTGTAGACTGGTTGCATTCTACCAATTTCTTTATCAAGAGTGAAATGACGATATCACTGGTAAAAAGTGATAAAAATGGCTGCGATTCTCGTGACAGCTTTCTGCGACTATCCTCTGCGCGCATACAAGATTTGAGAACTGAAATATAGCTGTAGCAAGATATTAGCATAAACTCTGATCTTGCATCCGAACAAATAAACAACAACGAGCCCTTGTTCGTGAAAAAGACGGTCTCCTACGTATTAATTTTGACGAAACCGTCGGAAATCCATAACTTTGTTCAAAATATTTTCTTGTGATCGGATTTTGATATCTGAAAAAGAAATTTCACAATAATTCGAAAAACCACCGAAAATTTAGAATCTGCTTTTATAGGAAGGGTTTTCGGTAAATTACCCTAACGGACAGTCGCGGCGATTCAATGAAAACTCTTTGAATGGAAGCAAATTCCAAACATTTGATGGTTTTTTGAATCCTTGCGAAATTTCTTTACCTAAATCAAAATCCGATTACGAGAAAACTTCTGAACAGATGGAAGATCTTCTGAACAAAGATATATTTATAAACTCTAGGCGTTTTGAAGATTCTGCAGAGAATAGATATTTCATTTTCTACTCCTTTACCCCAAAAGATTGCTGGAAACTGGAGAAATTTACCATTTTTGATTGAAATGTGCATACTCTTAGCAGAGATTTGTAGATTTTGTTAGGCAGACACTGATTTTTCAGCATTAAAGATTCAAGGATCGCTGAATCTTTTGCGAACCATGAGTGATGGGGGCCCAGAATTCTGTTTCACCAGAAATCATGAGGAACTGCCGATATCCGGTAATGGGAGGCACTACAATAGCCGGATTTCGAATAGAGTGCGATTTATATCAGTTCTGCCAGAATAACCTCATTTTCTTGGATTTGCCTGAAGCTTGGGGGGGGGGGGGTATTCGACCCGCCGATGGTGCACATCACACATGTTGTAACTTTGGTGTAACTTTCTCCATTTTTCCCTATCAAATTTTGAGTTGATATTCGGAACAAGCAATTCCATGTCATTTGAATATGTGCCCAAACCTTGCAAAATTCCAAGTTTTTTTTCTAGATTTTTAGGTCCCTCATAATGCCCTAATCAACAAGTCTGGCTCTGACCATAGTTATAGTGCCTTCACTGCATCAATTAATATCAAAATCTTATCAGTATGATGACGCATAAAGGTGAAGTTCAAACAGAAGTAGCAGTCCAACTATTCCGAAATCATGCTCGAGTTTCATGATATTTTCGAGAGTAGTGGTCATCCCCACTACATATCCTAACGGCTATGTGCGTGACTAATTTTACTGACAGGATGAGATTGATTTCGGACAATGGGTAGTTCAGAATTCATGGTTTTTTTCTTACCAAGAATCAGAAAAGTTTCTGGAGTATTGCAAAGACCGTACTGAGAGCTAAACTACTGTAAAATTATTATTGTTCAGCATGAAGTCCAACTCGCTCGAAATTCAAGAAATTACAATCTAGGTCTTCTTGATAGCCGGTGGCAGGACGGCTCTACAATTGCCGGATTTCGAATAGAGCGGCGATATCCAGACCTACCGAGACAGCACTAGCTTCTCAAATTTGCCTGAAACTTAGCTCAGGGAGGGGGAGGGTCATTCGATCCGCCGATACTACACATCACTTTTGTTTCATACGTAACGCCATTTTGTGAGCGTTACTGTGGGCGTACTGTAGGAAGTCAAAACCAAGATTTGCTTTAAACCTTGCTTAGGGAGTTATTAGGGTGAACGATAAAAAATGGGACAGCTTCAGTTTTTTACATTTTGAGGTCTTTTGTTCTCACCAACAACAAGCAGGCTACAACTCAAACGTAGCTTACACAACCGACCTTCGCCTATCATTCTGGCAATGCGCTACCGCTCCTCTCTCATAACCGTACGCGTGGCGCTGTGAAGAACTCCGACAGGTTTTTTGAACAACTCTCAATCTTGCACTGCTATAACGTAAAGTCGTAAAGCAAATGACATACCATTCGAAAGAGCTTTTCATGCTCTTTCAAACGATATGCTAAATGCATAAGATTTCTTTTCAATTTTAGAAAAAAACGAAAACAATAAAAACCAAAAAAATCATGTTTTGCCCTATATTTTCCGAAAATAGATAAATTGCGGCAAGCTGCACATGGATGGACAGAGCGTAAAAAAGCTCTATCAAATGGTACCTAGAAAACATGCGTTCACCTGCAAGGATTTGAATAACGTGTATCTTAGTGTCGAAGCTGCTAATGGCCATATCTCCTGACTTCGGAAGTTGAAACCACCAAGCCGTCGTGGGTTTAGTGACTGTCCCACCACCCACTCCAGCGGTAGTACCATGGGTGGTTTCGCATGTCTCACTGCGCAGATACTGCTCAAGGTTCATAATTTGTCGAAGTGATTAACTTTGCATTTCAGCAAGTATAAAAATTATTAATTATGTAAGTGACCTTATATAGGCGTTATCTGAAAGAGAATAACATATTCTAACATCTTTCAAAATTGGAATGTCTAATCACTTCTCTTTCTTGAGAAAGCTCCAGTTATTTTGTAAGTGACCCATTTTTTACCGTTCACCCTAATATTTAGCCCGCTGAACATGAATACCATATTGATTTTTCAAGATAGCGCCATTTTTTTGGATTGCTAGCAGTAATAACGCCTCATAGTAGAGTTGCGGTAATTTGCAGCGTATGAAAAACATGATGCTATCCGACTGTTTCGGGCCCTGAAATTTCATTCTTTGTCCAGGAGAGGATATCTGACATTCTGATCACAATTATCACATCTTTTCGGCATGAAAGCACCTCCGCGTGTGGATACGATAGGTATACTGTAAAGGTTCAAGAACATAGATTTGGCCGGATTGGACTAGGGACGTTATTCGACGTGCTTACGTGCTTATAACCCTTCCTATAATAGCAGATTCTAAATTTTCGGTGGTTTTTCGAATTATTGTGAAATTTCTTTTTCAGATATCAAAATCCGATCACAAGAAAATATTTTGAACAAAGTTATGGATTTCCGACGGTTTCGTCAAAATTAATACGTAGGAGACCGTCTTTTTCACGAACAAGGGCTCGTTGTTGTTTATTTGTTCGGATGCAAGATCAGAGTTTATGCTAATATCTTGCTACAGCTATATTTCAGTTCTCAAATCTTGTATGCGCGCAGAGGATAGTCGCAGAAAGCTGTCACGAGAATCGCAGCCATTTTTATCACTTTTTACCAGTGATATCGTCATTTCACTCTTGATAAAGAAATTGGTAGAATGCAACCAGTCTACAGCAATCCATAGGATTTTTCTGTTTCAAGTTTGCATACGGTAGTCAGTACCATCGCAGCTCTATAGAGTTTTTTTTCGGTTAATTATTAAGCACCACGGTTAGCCCGTATTCGGGCCTAAGCATGCTTTGAAACCTCAAAATAAGAGGTAATTCGAACCTCAGTATTGATATTATCAATAGTACCAAATATTATCGATTCTCTGTCCCCGAAATATTGATTTCTTTGATTCCCGAGTGACCAGAACCTCAATTTTATCGGTAGTCGAAGCTCGAAACGTCGATGTCATCGACGTTTGAATCTTCGGAATACCAAAGTGTGATACTTGAGATCTCCAAAAATTCGGTTCTATCGCTTTTCCAGCCTCCGAAATAACAATTCTGTCGATATTTGGACGTTCATAAAACTGATTTTTGACCCCTGGAGTCTGTAAAACAGCAATTTTATCGATTTTCAAGTTCTCAAAATATCGATATTATCGACATTTGGATGTCCAAAAAATGGATTTTTGGTGCCAGAGCCTGTACAGTATTGACTTTGTCAATTTCCAAGTCGTCAAGATATCGATTCTATCAACATTCAAGTCCTCAACATACTTTTTTTTTTCAATTCGAGGCTCAAAATATCGATTCTTTCAAATTGCGAGCCTCCAAAATATCGAATATATTGATTTTATAAATTGCCAGATAACGGGTTTTTTGGTGCCTGAAGCTTGCAAGGTATTGATTTTGTTAAATCTCGAGTCCTCAAAATATCGATTTTCGAGCTCTCAAAATATGAATTTTTCAAATTTCAAACCTTTGATTTTTGGTGATCCAAACTAAAATTTCTGTCGATTTTCGAGTTTTTGCAACACCAATTTTTAATATTTCGAGGATTCAAACCATAGAATTTAGCTATTTGAAAAGCAATTTTGGGAAAGTCTGCAGCATTCAAGATATGAATTCTGTTGATCTTCGAGAATTCACAACAATCAATAATTAAACTATCAAATCTTCAAAATCAACAGTTTCTGTCATTGTATCAGGTTTTTCAATTGTCAATCAATTACATTTTTTCTTTTTCAGAATTTTCATAGGAAGTTTGACCATGCAATGTTGCAAGCTCCGCCTACTTATAGCCCCTTCCCTTCCCAAGCCCCACCTACTCTCTTACCCTGCTGCACCACTGCACCCATCTTCTATAACTTACACACCGCTAACTAACACCTATACTCGTTTATATTACAGAGGCCAAATACCAGAGATCAAAAAATTTTAAATAACTCTCCGGAGTCTTCGGAATGCATAGCACATCTCCGTCCATATTCAGACTCTGGGTAAACCTTCTATATCAGCGGATAGCTTTTTAAAAGTTCTATCAAAGTGACAGTAACCAATCTCCATCGCTTTCCTAAGATTGATTATTCGTTTTGTACTATCACGAGATTTTCCTCAGAGAAACATAGTTCTTAACCATTCATATCAGCACTCTGTACAGGCAAACTTACAATTTTCTGAAAGTGTTAAAAGAAAGCC